AATCATCCGACTGACGGTATAAGCAATGTTGCTGAATCATTCAAAAGACCTAAGCATTATGAGTAAGCTAGTATTCGGACATATTTATTTGATATGTTGTTAAGGCATCTGAACATTCAAGATATTGAGTCAACTACAGTTTCAAACGGCGTGTTGCTAAGTCATACCAAAATTATAGGATAGTGACCTAGCATCTGGACAAATTTACTCTAATATATTTGAATAACCTAGCAACCACCTAGCAACATGTCCTTCAACTTCAGTTACCATAATCTACCGGGAAAACGTAGAGACATGTCTCAATCATACCAACATCAGTCAGTCAGCCAATCAATCAATCAAACAATAAGTTCACCTATTCTGTCAGATAATGAATTTTAGCCTGTCCTCTGACAGACAGCACTTTCACACAAAAATAAATACCATTGAATGACTCATTCTAACTCAACATTAGCAACACACAAACAAAATCATACCTAGATGTTCTTTCTCATTTCTAAATATCTCGACAGTTGCACACTTAATCTCTTCGTCAAAGGATGAGTCATCTACAAGGCTACTTTATGTGCTTCCTTGTCTACTCATTCACTCACTCACTCACTCACTTACTTGTTTGCTTGCTTAACAGATAGGGTGCATGTCAGATGATTGACCATCATCCTAAATTCTATTTGAAAAATATGATGTATTTGAGCAATACATTTCAAACAATCTGGTCCCCTGCACATTTACTTGTCAAGTCAATATTTTTACAATATTAAAAATAAAGACCGATTAGAATACACACATAAAACAAAAAGGATTTAAGAATAGATAAGAATAATTAACGACACTAGGTTTGGTTATCTATCCATCTATCTATCTAATCAGATAAGGATTACCAAAATAGGTTGAGAATAATAAAATATTATTTCTGTAGACACAGTTGGCATGCGTAAGTGGTTTGGCAATTGAACCACCAAGCTCATACCATACACATTTCAATCTGTGGTCTTGCAGTTTCCATATACTTTATTTGAATGGCCTAGCTATTCATAAATTTAAGCGCCTCACTGTGTGTTCGAAAACAATTTATTATTACTCTTAACATACCTTGGTGGTAATTCTATTATGGATCAAATTTTATTCTGATCAAGTCACGCAGTATTGCGCAGTAACATTTACTGATGACCACCTTCTTTTGAGCACAATTTTCACTATTGCTCATAATCATATCAAGACACTACCCACACAATTCTCTTGGTTCACACTTATAAACATGAGTAAAAATTGATGATTAGACAGTTGAATAAAATCAATGTAAGATAAAGTACATTCGGAAACAGTATTAGTTTTCAAGAGTTCGGTTCGGTTTGTAAGCATTAGACTTGTTTATATTTTGATAGAGTATTTCCAATTCTGAAACACTCTCTCCACTGGATTTGACTTTCACACATCAGAAAACAGTTCACCAAGACAACTTATGCTGAATCACAATTTGAGAATTCATATATACATTCAACCAACTGGCAGATCATAAGAGAACATAATCAGTCAGGATAGATAGGCTTGGTTGGTGTCTTCAAAGCTAAACTGGTTGACATTGCTGCTGTATGCTGTAGGCTGCCTGAAAACACTAGAAAGCACTTAAACATCTCAAAAATACTCACCAAATAGTAGTTATATTACAATCGAATAAAGGTTTGACACTTGTTCTAACCAATAAAGAAGACTACATATTGACGAGATGAACTTAATCCTACAAAATCCGGAAAAATTGATTGATTCAGTTTTAACATAGAAAATAACGCATAAATGCAACATTTTGAAATTTCCACACTCAACTCCGTGTAGCGCACACAAAAGTAAACAAAAGAGACTACAATAAGCAGAAATCTACGAGAGAAAGAATAGCGACATGGATAAATCACTAGGGTATTTCGGATATGCGAGATGGCAAACAGTGAATACACTTTCGCAACACTCAGAACGATTTTAAGCCAAATCTCCAAAGGTCACTAACCATTGACTCTTAACACTCCGAGGTCTCAAGTGAAACAGTCTACACATCACTCTATATGGCTGGCTAAAAGTAATAGTCAAAAACGTCGAGGACTACGTAGTCAGGTGTCGACTCAACCAACCGACCAACCAAAACTCTTTTCCAACTTAAACTGATGTCAGCTGACATTCCCCCTCGATGAGGAAGGCGACGGTTCATCATGCCCAAAACATGACCTAGCCATCTAAACCGACATAACTTCACAACCTCATCGATGAGCTTACCCCTCTTGCCTAACACTCTACGGTTAATCTCATTAGTATTCACCATATTATACCACCTAACATGAGAAGTAGAATGCAAACACTTGTGGTGGTTGTGGGTCAGTCATAGACAGCTAGCCTTTCTTTTCATATGTCCCACTCTCAATAGTCTCAATGTCCCAAAGACATAGAGGAGGAGACAGCGAAGTGCTGCGCAGTATACGTATATTTTCATCGATGGACAGATATCACGCAAGTTAGACTATCCCACACCAGTCCTTTGTATCCCTACCCGGATTTCGTCAGCAATCAGTCCGTTCAGGCTGATACACCGCCTCAAATAAGTCGTTCAATGGCCAAAATGCTGTACTACTGCACTCCCAATATTTAAGCTTGGAGTAGGTGTAGTGCAGTCCTGCAGAATCGAATTACCATATCAAAGGAGGGAATCACACGCCAAATATTCAAAGATTTCTGTCCACAAGACCCTGCATTTTGTCAGTCTTCACAATATCATCCCCGTACAAAAACAGGGAAGGTGAGCACTCCTAAAGGCAACCACCGACAGTCGTCGCTTCACATGAAAATTCCTCCCTCCCCTCCCCGACCCACAAGAACTGACACCGCTGAGTCAATTCGAATACAGTGCCTCGATCAGTGAGATATACTTCCTGGGAACTCCTTCATTTCAAATGTGTATATGATGATGAATTGGATTGGACATTCGCTGTCCTAAATTCAGACGAAAGCAGTCATAATTCTTCAACACCTCCAATTTCTGATACAGCCTCCGACCACTAATTGGTCCTCAGGAGGATAACATCACAGTGGAGAAAATACTACAATTATGCAAATAAATTAACTGTGATGATACTCATTCATGTCTAACCAAGCAGAGATTCAATATTCACTTCCAGGTAAAATCAAAATCCAGGGCAGTCTTCAGTGTTTCTGATTAGTAGGTCTAGAATGAACAACTACGTTGACGTATCCCCCCTGTATGATAATCCAGTCCGAATTCACTGCCTCACCGATAACGTTTATATTTCGAAAAATTAACCATATACCAATAAAAAATGCAACAACATTACCTCTAATCTACACAAGGGTGAAATGTATGCCATACAGGTCACGCTGGACGTGACATCAGTGACAAATATGGACAACAACAAAAAAAACTAAGTTCAATTCACTATCCAGTGAATGAGGAAGTGAGATAACAAGAATAAAAAGTGACCAACCGAATCTCATTACCAAAAAGGAGGAACAAAGAAAATAATAGGCTGTTCAATTCCAAAAATTCTTCAACTGAATGTCACTTACAATCCATCCAGAAATACCATCAACAACCAAAGAACAACTGGCCAGTGCATACCAGTCGTCCAACGAATGCAGAAGTCTCCGATGTAATCAGGCTACTAAAAGTGGAGAATGCAACAGGACCACGCGGAATTCTCTTATGAGGTATTGGAAACAGATCACGAGACTACAACTGATATCCTCACGACACTAGTGCAAAATGCTTACAAGGAAGGAAATAAATGTACCGATCGATTGCATGAAAAACTACATTGTTAAATTACCAAAGAAGGGTAAATTACTCCTCTGCAAGAACTAGCGTAGAATCACGCTGTTCTCCACAGCAAAAGAAATATTAGGTCACGTCATCCTAGAGAGACGACAAGATGCATTAGAGAGGTGCACACGGAAAGAAAATCATGTGCTGAAAAAATTGCAGCCTTACGAATATTCATCGAACTCAAGATAGAACCACAGTCAAATCTCTACATCGACTTCGTCAACTTTTAAGAGGCCTTCGACAGCGTTGACTACGAAGTGATATGGAAACTATCATCGATGATATTCCTACTTGTTTGGGATTGGATTATGCGGGAGACTCTCAGAAAGTGGCAGACACGAGTACGTTAGACCCAAAAGACTCTATAAGATGTGGACTTCATGTGTGATTTATGTCTCTCAAATAAATTCGAAGACCTACAGGCGGGAACCGACGAACTCGCAGAAGATACTGATTACAAATACAAGAATTCAGATGAAGACTGAGAAGCCGGAGGCGGAGGTGGAGATAACAAACCACCGACAACAAGCACCAAACACTATCAATGAAAGAAATTTGAAAGACATCACTTCCTTTACCTATCTAGAAAGTATCTTTTCGACTACTAGTCGAGTCACGATTGAATCAAGAAAAGCCTTCATCAATCTGAAATCAGTTTAGAAATCTTCTGCACTCAACAGAACAAAAACAAAATCCCGATTTCCACAACCGATGTTAAGTCATTCCTTCTAAATTGATCAGAAACTTGACTCACTCCTGACGAAAAGCATTTCCACAACAGGACACTAAAGAAGTTTATCAACAGCTACCTTCTCTGGCTCCAGACCCTAGATCAGACACGCCTGGAGAGAAAGAATCAAGAACCCATTGGTCAACAAATATGCAGAAAATGGAAGTGGATCTGACACTCTGAGGAGACCATCGGTAGAATTGAAAACGACAACTTGGACGTTCGACAGCGACATGGAGGAGACCGCGTGCGGAGGAAATGATAGACTTATAAGTAATATTGAGACCGCGTAATGAGGACTGCAGAAAACACGACAAAATGGAAATGACCCATTGAAGTTCTATGCAATCAAGGGAATAACAATGTAATATTGTTTTGCTAAAATCAGTTGGTTTAAACACATACAAAAACACTAACAACAACAACAACAAACAATTTAACACTTACATATTTATTTCCTCTGATTTTAGATTCCCTTGCAACTGGACATCATTGTTAGTAAGACTGTGACAGTTGCTGCTCTGGTTAGCTTTAACAGTACCATTTTTATTCTCACTGCGTCTATCTGCAATTTCTTCATGTACTATAATTACGTCGTCATCACTCTCTTCTTCTCCGTTAGACTTCAAAAGGAAAAAAATCAACGAATTATACAATGCAGCCTTAAGTTGTAAAACGGATTTTGATCAAGATGTTGACTGACCGACTGACTGTATTCAATCACATCACAATTCATAAGATTCAAGTATTCTAACAGTACACCTTCTATACTAACAACTTGAAGATAGTCAAGAAACTCTTACTATAGTTTTACTGGACACTAGTATCGATAAGTCAAGTTTGTAATGTGGCCACCATTCTAGGTAGGCAGTTCACCATCACAGTGCACATTGATTTAACGATATAGGATGGTTGGAGGAAATTGGCAGTCAATAGTGTAGTGTCAAATCAAACAATCCACTACAGTCCTACTGGAAGGCAATCGACAGCCTGAATGGCTCACTGGTGTCGTCTCTGACCGCAGTATTCACTGGGTGACGCGGCTTTGAATCTCAGCAGCATCCCGAGTCCCTTCAAGGTGACAAACGCGCCTTGCTGACGAGTGCCAACTAGCCAGAGGCTTCCAATGATTCCTGCTGATTGCTGCCAGCCATCTAATATCATCAAACTCTCACTATTTTATTCTTTAATCACACTTGCTGAAATCACACAACACAACACTGGACAATTATATATAATCAAAGCATTATGGGTATTCCTCATCAGATGGACTGCATTTAAATGCATAAGAGAAAGTCTGAGAGGTCACAGTAATATAAAGAAAGGAAACTACTCACCTATACAGAACTAGATGAATATGGTGTCAGCAGATTAAAAAACGACAACATTCAAAAACCAAAACCAGGTAGGTATCACGAGCACAACTTACATGCATGATGTACCCGCCATTCAGATCAACCGGTACTAATATTCCCCTCATTGATCCGCTCACACCTGTGTGAAGAAGATGAGAACATTTCAGTGAAGTGTAAACAAGGAACACATGAATGAGTGGAGACAGTCAATTTATAAATTACTTTTAAGTACTGGTTCTATCCCGAATCCTTTTCGATTGGTCGGTTGGAGCATTTCATCATCATCAACATCAGTTGACATGAAGTAGAGAAGCATTGGAGAACCTGGGAGTACTGGACGGCTGCCGGAGAGTCCCGAAATGGGACGAAACAGCTGTCTCGCAGTACTACCTGTCGAATTTTCAATGGTCCTCTAACTGATGTCAGCTCATGATGAAATCCGCCAACCAGCCAATTAATTGATTATAAAAACAGAAGTGAACGAACAATTTGGAAGATTCCCAATTGTTAGTTAGTTAGATCTACGTCAAAAACCAATACCACAGATTATTGAAACCCGACAGGAGGTACTGGATAGTCGTTTCTGTCATCCTAATATGATACTATTCAGTAGTGTGAACTCACGACTGTTTGAAGGATCGAGCCATGAACCTTCACGTTAGGAGTCCAAGCAGGTTTACAAAACAGCTGTCCAACACTCCCTACCTTTCAATAACCCCTCAAATCATGTTTGTTCCTGATACGAATATAAGAATTGAAATTAATCCTAAAGCAACTAGGAACGAAGAACCAAACACTAGAATAGAATAAGAGACTCAACAAACTCTTTTAGCATTCAGGCTTCGGCGTTAACTTGATAAATCGGGAGCGTCTTCGCCATATATAAAATACACAAATTAAACCCTTATTAAGCACCTTTGTGGCCTCAATCACAATATAGAGATAAATTCATCCGAATCTCTTATTCGTCCGTGGTCTTCACCTCACTCGCAGTCGCCTCCAAGTCCGCACTGTGTGAAGTCCCAAATTGGGACAAAACAGCTGTCTCACACTTCCATCTGTCGGTTTCCCAATGGCTGCCTAACCGACATCACCTCATGATGAAATCCACCAACCAATCAATTAATTAATTAATTAATTCACTGTTATCACTCTTCTATATTCCTTGTGTACACATTCTCATTACATTTACATCTGTCAAGTCTACACTCCACTACCAGCTTACCTCTTCTCATCGAATAACAACCTTTCACCTTATCTAATCGCAAACCTGTTCTTCCATTGTGTCATTCAGGTATTCCACGGTGTGGGCAGCCGAGAAGTAACAAACGCCCTCACAATCCGAAATGCACACAAAACCTCTCTAATCCTCACTTACCTTTGTCTTCATCTCCATTGCCTTGTCTTTCTCCCACTGATAAAACTCCTCTACTTGATGGCTCCACACTCCCTCTTCACTCTGTGTCCACTAAAAACGACGAAAGCCAAAAAACCACCACGGATAGTCTCCTAAAGCCACGCCACCAATTTCATATAGAAGCATTTAATGTTAGGACACTTTGCCAAATAGGACAACAAGCATCACTAGCTAAGACCCTGGCATCTCGAGCCATAGATGTATGCTGTGTTTCAGAAACACGCATACAAGACCCAAGTGTGGTTATTCACCTAACCCCACCTGGCCAACAGGTTGAATCTGCAAAATTCACCCTGAGGGTGTCAGGAGATGCCACAGCTAGTTCACGGGGATTAGCCGGCGTATGGACAGCTCTGAGTACTAGGGCAGAAAAGACATTACTTGACTGGATCCCGGTAGATAGCCGAATGTGTGCTGTCCGTCTGAACGGATCAGTAAAAAGGAGAAAGGACTGCACTACTCGCCGATGCCTTTTCGTAATCTCCGCCTACGCCCCCACTGACTGCAGTTCAGATGAAACGAAGGATGAGTTCTACCAAAAGCTGTCTAGTTTGGTGCGAAAGGCTAAACGCTCAGACATAGTCGTTCTAGATGGTGACTTTAACGCTCAAGTAGGGAAATTGTGTCAATCTGAGAAGGATGTCGGTGGCACCTATGGAGCTCCGTGCCAGCGAACCGACAACGGTGACCGTCTACTACAGTTCTGCTCTGATAATCATTTGTTTCTTGTAAGCACTAACTTTAAACACAAGGAGAGACACTGTTTGACTTGGAGACCCCCTTCATCAAGCCAACGCTGGACACAAATAGACCACATAGCAATAAGCTATCGTTGGCGTGGGTCGGTAGGAGATTGTCGCTCCTTCTGGAACACGTGCGTAGATACCAATCACGCACTGGTCCGGGCTCGTGTGTGCTTACGACTGAATGGACGTAGGAAACAGCTAGCGGCAAAACCATCACGTCCCCAGCTCGATCAGGAAACTAAATCCGTATTTGAGGAAGAACTAGCTAAACGCATATCTGAATTCGACAGCTGTGCTCACCCTGGAGAAGCCTGGAAGAATATTCAGTCAGCTATAGATACAACTGTAAAAGCTGTGAATAAGGCAAATCCAAAGGTGAGTAAAAACCACTGGATTTCGACTGCCTCATCCGAACTGATGGATGCTAGAAGACTTATTCCGGCGAGCTCCGAATTCAATGAGGAGCGAAAGCTGCACAAAAGGAAACTTACTAAAAGTCTCCGCAAGGACCGTGAACAGTGGTGGGTGACAAAGGCAAAAGAGATGGAAAAAGCATCGGCGATAGGCAACACTAGGCAACTCTTTAGACTCATCACAGATTCGGGTGGGAGAAGGCAATTCATAAGTGAGACTATTTCTGAGAAAAATGGCTCCTTAATTAGCTCTCAGGATAGACGCCTTGAACGCTGGAAAGAACACTTTGAGGAACAATTTAACTTGCCTACAGCCACACTGAACCTCCCTGCCATCCACCACGTACCCGAATGGGATATAGACACTGGTCCGCCGTCTGTAGGTGAGGTTACAAAAGCTATCAGTAATTTGAAACGAGGCAAAGCGGCAGGACCCGACGGAATTATTCCGGAGGTGTTTAAATATGGGGGTGACATACAAGTTTGTAGATTAACTGAGGTACTAGGCAAAGTCTGGGAATCAGAGGAAGTTCCATCAGACTGGGGTAAGTCACTTATTATACCGATATTCAAGAAGGGAAACAAGTCCTCGTGTGATAATCATAGAGAGATCAGCCTAACGAACATAGTCTCTAAAATCCTAGGCTCAGTAATCATGCATGGACCAAGCAGAACTCGGGAGGAACAGACAAGGGAAAATCAAGCAGGCTTTAGACCAGGTAGAGGGTGCATAGATCATATCTTCACTCTTCGACAGATTCTAGAACATAGACACACTTTTCGGCGTCCAACAATTGTCATATTTCTTGACGTGAAGGCGGCCTTCGACTCCGTGGATCGAAAGGTACTATGGCAATGTCTGACTGTGAAGGGAGTGCCAAGAAAGTACATTGCACTAATCAAGGCACTCTATTCAAACTCACGTAGTCGTGTGAGGGCTTATGGCGAATTGTCACCTGAATTGGTAACAACCAGTGGTGTCCGACAGGGATGTCCACTTTCCCCATTTCTGTTTAACTTCATCATAGATATGCTAACGGAAGTATCCTTAACTGAATGTAACGACTTAGGAATCGACTTATTACCAGGGAATAATCTAATGGACTCACCACTCATCTTCTTGTCTACCTCTGTGTGCTATTTGGAACGTGGCAACTCGAACTGCTGCATTTCGGTGCCAAGTTCTATGTTGAATCCAGACAAACAGACAGACATTCAGGTATTATCTTGTTTTTTTCTCACTTTGATTTATTTTAGAAACTACTTTCGAATGAGCTTCGAGCTAATCGTGGGGCCAGTTAACCATGAAGACTGAAGAGAGCAGGACACATGTGGGGATGTACTTCTGAGGACCAATACTCACCACGAAACCAAACGGAACCAAAAGAATAACAATTGTGATTGTGTAAAATATCAATTAACGACAGGTGTGACCTAATCTGAACAACCTCCCTACCACGGAAACCCTACCCATTCATACCTCCAAATGTATAGCGAAAAAATTATATCACTCACCAAATACCATGGGGCATGACTCAGAGGTAGGTCAATTACACACACACACAACAAACTCCAGTAGATCCGCTCCAATTACATTACTGTCATATAAAAAAAGGAAGTGTCATTCAACTACAGAAATATACCCAGCGTAGTTAGTGATCTAGTCGGGTCGTGAAATAATGGCAATGAAAAAGTGAAAACACAAAATGCAAACGCTCACTTGCAACTGGATAAACACTCCACAGTAGATTGATTAGTCCTGTGATCTAAATTTGATTTTTTAATTAGTAATTTTTTCTATATTCATATATCTATATACATTTAATGTTTCATTTATGGCATTCTGTCTTACTATTGGTCAGATCACAGGACAGATCAAGCTAATGATCAAGTCACCCAGTCCGACTATCCCCCCTATCATGCATATTATTTTACACTAGCCAATCACAGGATAGATTGCACAACCTTCAAATGACTAGGCCATTTTCTTTTGACACGGCTTCTCACAATCATCGATTACAAAAGTCAGTCTGACCGGTCAACAACCCCTTGAATAATAGGTGCTGCTCGTTTTGTTCTAACTCTTATAATAAAGTATATTATTAATTTCAAATAGCTAGTTATGTTTTTATTTGAATAAGGCATCAAGAAGACAAATTTCGCGAGATGATGTCATTTCGTAGTTTCTTCACAACCGCTTTACAACTAACATCTCGCGAAATTTGGCTTCTTAATGCCTTATTCAAATTTATCAAAGGGACTAATTGTTTTAACTATATTTTTATGGTTATATTTTTATATAGAATAAAGGAGGAGTCCCAAACTAGGACGAAACAGCTGTCCAGTACTCCCAGGTTTTCCAGTGGTTCTCTAACTGATGTCCGCTCATGATTAAATCCTCCATACAATCAAACCAAATCCCTACAAAACCAACATCTGAAAATTAATCTGATGCTCACTAGCGACTGGCCCTATTCAGGCAGTTAACCTGGGGTTCTAGTAGGAAGCCGTGACCAGTAAGGTACAGCAGGTCGAAGATGAGGCAGTAACACATCGAAGAAGACATTGCGAAGTGGTCGCGCTATGTCGTGAACTGGCAGAAGTTAGAATTCAAGAACCATTGGTTCGGGTGCCAGTGGCTCAATGGTCTACGAGCTCGCCTTGTAACCAGAAGGTCCTGGGTTCGAACCCCCGTGGGTGCGTACTGCTGAGGAGTCCCAAACTAGGACGAAACAGCTGTCCAGTACTCCCAGGTTTTCCAGTGGTTCTCTAACTGATGTCAGCTCATGATTAAATCCCCCATACAATCAAACCAAATCCCTACAAAACCAACATCTGAAAATAACAGATAAGTTGAGTGGCTAGTACAAAATAAAATGCACTAAAAAGAAGATAATAAGACTGAGATGAGTAGTTCAACACACCAAGATATCATGACCAGTTAGTTATGCAGTAGATACACCTCTACGTAGAATAACAACAGATTAGTTACGGGCTGACAGAATGAATTAATAAATAAATAAACAGTATTTGTGTGACAAACGCGTCAGATTGAATTCAGTCACCAAATATTGTGAAACGAGGGGCGAGAGGTAATGGTGATGACTAATCATAATACATCGCCACACTATGGTGTAGGGAAATTTGAAGTCAGTCAGTCAGCTTATAGAAAGTGTCATGTTGGCACAAATCGGTGTGTATTAAAAGGGGAACCATATTAAGAAAGCTACAGATCATAGCTCGAAATACCAACTTCCTTAGCTTCTTACCTATGAAATAGATACACAATCTGATCTAGTGTTTAGCATTTTGAGAGAGAGGTCGGTTTGCTCTCAAGATTGTGTGGAGAAAGAACTCCGAGTCATCCAGGATATTCTACGCTTGAAGATTATGGAAGTGAACATAGTTTACAATAATCATAAACATGCACTGGCAATGAGGGAGAAATAGTTTTTGTTTTTCGTCAACAATTCACAGGAGATACTCCTGTGGAAATTCTATAACAACGTTTAACCAGAACGATAAAGAGATCTTACTACTGCGTACATATGTTTCTATCCTCCATTAGTCGTCCAATGTCCATTCAGAGACTGATTGATATCTTCCTTAACCTAAGACAAGTGTATAAAAAGTCCTATTCTGTCACACTTGGTCGATACTGGACGTGTCATCGACGCCAACACAGCCTTCAGAATTATATACTGAATTCTGAAGGCGCTATCACACACAATTCGCCTTCGATTCTTACACATAGCTGAAGCTATGACAATAAGATCGACTAAACCGTACCTGTGTATCCAGAAAGAACACCTTCAAGCGTAGTTCCTACCACAGCCAGATTTGGAATGAAGTCCCTTCTTTTTCCCCTCTTCAAGTCTTCCTCTTCCACTTATCCTTTTTTCTTACCTCTTCAGCTAAAAATTCAACTTTTACAAGATGATCTGTACAAGGTGCTACCTCATCTTCTCAGGTTGGTGCGTCTTCAGTTGCAAAGCACAGATAGCTAAGACAGTTGCCATAAGGATTTTCCAACCCTTCGCTCAACAACTTAGAATAGTCATCTCCCCCAGTGACACCGGATAACACTAAATATTATCTTATAATATTTGTAATGCTAACCGCATTATCAATATCATGCTGTGCTGTAGTTGCACATTTTATTCTCGCCTTCATAATTTATCATCATCATGGTTATAATATTATCTAATTGTTATGTGACAGTAGTTATTTTCCCCTCTACGCCTAGTATTATGCATACCGTTTATATACACTCACCGCTGCCTAGATTATATAAACACTTATTAGTACTATTATGATCACTTCGATTGTTATCCATTAATTCACACCTCTGGTCCTAAATTTTATTGACCACACTAATTCAAATGCCCATGACTAATATTTCATCATTATACAAGTGTAATGTCTGATGAGAATTTATCGAAAATACCTATTTGCTGGCTTAAATCGTGTTCTATAAGAATATTACCAATATTACACTGTATAATTGTGATAACCTCAAGAGGAATTCTCAAACAGACCATTCCTCGTTCAAATTGAGATACTTATTTACTCATCTGGACAATCAATCACACTGGGAAACAAACAATACTCACTCACTCACTCAGTGTGAGTGTTACTCACCAGATTATTGGACTACTATATCAACTTACAATCCAGAACAATACAATACCACAATTACAACGATCCTATACTTTAGATAGGCTTGTAACCACCACCACATGAGTTTCTACCCTTCCAAATGCAAATCCATCTGTGAAGACTCGACTATTTGCTAAAGCATACACTTCAAATTGATTGTACACAACAACATCTTCCTAAGTCATCTGCATTCTCAAAAGGCATAGGAGAATTATCAGCGAACCAGTAGTATTTCGACACACTCATTCTCTACTGCAGTCTACTAACGCGTTGGTCGGTTAATTTCCCTCGACAATTCAAAGAGGAGAAAAGTGTTCCTATCGACGTAGTCATCTGAGAAAGTCTGCACAATCGCATTTATATTTACCAACATCCATCCGTATAACAGACTTTCTATCATAAAGTAATACAGGTGGTGTGGAGTGAAAGCAATCATATAATTCATATTATTACTCCAAAGTAACATCCAAATGAATAGTTAAAATTTATAAATAACCTTACAATAAACGGGACAACCGATAAGAAAAACGTCTTGACATTTGATTATAAGGTGAAAATTGTTATTCGATGAGAAGTAAGGCGGTAGCTCGGGGAGGAGGAGAACAATTCAGTGAAGTGTAAACAAGGAACACATGAATGAGTGGAGACAGTCAATTTATAAATTACTTTTAAGTACTGGTTCTATCCCGAATCCTTTTCGATTGGTCGGTTGGAGCATTTCATCATCATCAACATCAGTTGACATGAAGTAGAGAAGCATTGGAGAACCTGGGAGTACTGGACGGCTGCCGGAGAGTCCCGAAATGGGACGAAACAGCTGTCTCGCAGTACTACCTGTCGAATTTTCAATGGTCCTCTAACTGATGTCAGCTCATGATGAAATCCGCCAACCAGCCAATTAATTGATTATAAAAACAGAAGTGAACGAAC